CTTTTCTTTCAGGTGGTTGAGGAAAAGGGGAACAAGTGTCAGAACCACAAATACCTGCAATTTGAGGCTCAAAAAAGAGATTCTGTGGCAACTATAACTTACGTGTATGAACACATATATAATAGGAGCCATTCCACCAATTACAATATTTTCTCGCTTACAGTACACCCCAGAATGATATATGCACCTTGTTTTTGAAAGACAACATGAAGAAAAAATACATTTCCTGGAGTTGCTACATGTATTAATACATTAATTATTATTAAATAATTAAAATAAATTAATTTAATAAATAATTACACTATATTAACATATTACTGTATTAATATATTAATGTGATGCAATATACTCCAGTGCTTATTGCACTGGAATTTATTGCTCCCAGGCACTGTGTTTACATGTGTGTCAGGGGGCTGGCAGGGTCAGCTTGCCAGCCTGGGGCTGCTCTAACCCAGCTCAACATACTGTGGAGGGGCCGCCTGGGGCACAAGGGTGCTCTAGTGCAGGGCTAGCCTGCAGACAGCCCCGACACAGAAGAATCCTTATGCTCTAGCCAGTTGTATCAGTGTCTACACATTCAGTGCTGCAAAGTAAAAAACTCCACAGCAAGATAGTATTTGTATTTACAAATACTACACTGCTGCAGAATTTATTAGTTTCTTGTGGACTAATAGAGGCGCATGTGTAGATGCCGAGATTTTTACTGCGGATCAAGTCAGGCAACTCTGAAATAAACATCTCATGTAGTAATGCAGACTTCAATAAGCTGCTTTTGGGGTGCATGTTGTATGTAAGAACATATGGTATATGGTTGCAGGATCATTGTAATACATGCTTATTGGAAGAGGGTAGAATCTACTTAATGCCCCAAAGGCTGCACACCAACATGGGCCTTTGGATCTTTATTGACCAGACAAGTCATATCTGCTTAATGATTTTCATCCAAAAGATCCTCAGCCATTGATGAAGCAATTAGTGCTTTGTAGTACTAGCATCATGGGAATCCAATTTTCAAGGGACAAAATATAAGCTACAACTTACTTATGTAACTATATGTACGCTGTTAGATTTGCCGGGGCACGCATTGCAAACACACTATGATTTTGCCTTTGTGAGCATCCTGGTGAACCAGAAAGCACAGGGACAAGTCCACACTTCTGCAGCATACAGGAAACAGAAACTTGATTTAACATCCCAGTGAATGTAAAGCTATTTAGTTACCCCATGGATATCATGGTGCTTCATGTTCTAAAGAGGTAAAATCTGGTTGGCTTAGGGTAATGTCGAAGGACCCATAGATGCTGACATTTATTTTTGGTGGGGAGGAGGTGAGGGGTGCTAAGGTGATGGACATGTGGAAACTTTTACTCATTTCAGGTGACAGCCCTCTTCCCAAGGGAGGCCAGGGCCCTTGGGCCCCCATGTACTTGGCACCTCTGCAAAGACCAATCTACACTTCTTCCCTATAAGAATTACAAAGCTGTTTCTGGGGGCAACTCCTTTATCAAAGTATAGGAAAACCATTGGGTATTGTTGCATCATTCCCTTTAGTCCCACCTAATGATGTTACCATCCCTCTTATCATGGATTTTGTGACAACAGGACAACAGTACTTCTCATTCATATGTTAAGGAAGGTAGGCCCAGCCATTTATATTAATGCAAGTTTCTGTTTGAAGACATTTGTTTTGTAGAGCAGAAATCCCTTGAGTTGTGTCTGATAAAACAAAAAACTTAACAGGCCCACCAGAACTGAGTCACCCCCCGCCCCCCCCAAATCAATAAAAAGAACAAAAAGACAAGGCAAGTATTGAAAAACTAAGTAGATAGTGCTTTCCTGGATTTTGGTTGATTATCCCTTGCATATTGAGTTAATCTCAGTGAAGCTTTCTAGTTTTGCTTTATAGCCAACAGATAAATCATGAAAAACAATGCTTCATTTTGAAAACAGCATGTTTGAAAATATGTTTCTTTGACTAAAGAATTTTACTTCCATTTTGAGAATGTAAGCTGAATGAAGGAGGGCATGAATCATTCTTCTGCATGAATTTTTGCACTGCTAATATTGCTAAGAATGACTCTATAATAGGATGTAATCTAGTAGCTAGGCACTGTCTTTATTAGGTTGTGATAAAAGGGAGTTATCAATGGCTACAGCGAATTTAAGACACTTTATTGCTGAATATAGCAATGATATATTATGGAATACTTTTTAATTGGTAATTAACTTCCCATGTTTTGCTAAGACCAGCAGTTTGCATCCATATAGCACCCACATAAAATCAGTTTTCGGTCTGTACTCTACAGCACTACTTAAAAATAAGAGGTAAACATGTTCTCCATTTTCAAGGTTTCTTTAATGAATAAATCTTTCATCCTTTTCCGGGCAGTTTCCCAGCTGTCCCATTGTCTATGGGAGCAGCTATTGAAAAATAGGTATCAGGCTTCAGTAATTAGTTTACAGGTGTGTCTACTTCTGGAGACTTTAGGCCTTTATCAGGGATGCCTTTAATAATTTTTGCTTTTAATTGTTGGATATCACAGATATTAAAGATGGAAAAGACCTATTGAGTAGCATTATCCAGGTCACCCCCTCAGAGTGTTCCATGAAGTATATTCTCAAGCACTTGCTCCAGCTACTATATATATATTGAAAAGAAAAATACTGCACAAGACATGAGTTACTGTATGCCTTTTTCACACTAAATATTTAATATCTTCACTTCCTTGCTACTGTAATATAAACAACAATAGCACTTCAAGCTGCAATATGTAGCATTTTCTGTAACAGGGCTTCAGAGAACATTCCTCACCTCTGAGATTTGGAACTTGCATTATTAAGACTTATAATAAGGTCAAAAAAGCATTGTTAGATCAAAGGACCAATGATAGTTTAGAGGTATAATATTGTGTCTATCACCAGAGTTATAAACTACTGTTTTATTGCAGCACTAGTCTGGGAAGCCTATTTTTCCAACTCTGTACTTGCAAGATTTTTCCAAGCCTGGAACCTTGTGACATGGCATAACTTGAACTGACATAATTTTGATTAACACATATTTTTTACAATTTTTAAACTGAATTCCAAAATTTCAACAAATATTATCTTGAAAACTGCCAGAATACATACACTACGTTTTAATGATGACTGGAGTTTCATTTGTTACTTTTACATCATATCAAGCATTCTAAGAGTGTGTACATTACATTTAGATTAAGACCCAGGGTTAGGTCAATCTAAATGTCCAATCATGCAGGCATTCAGAGGGTTTAAATCTCCCAGAAAATGGCACTCCTGATCTAAATTAGTTCACATGAGGAGGTGCATTAACTTAGATCAAGATCAGGTTAACCTTATCTAAGAATAAGTTAACCCAATCTCAGGAATGCCTGCACATGTTCACAGTGCAGCCCAGGGGCTATGCTATTCTGACTGAGCTATTTTTAGTCCCCCAGCAGGGCAGCTTCCTCCTCCATGGACCAGCCAACCCCCACTACAGACTCGCCAATGCCCCTGAACCCTCAATCCCACCCACCCTACCTCAACCTCAAGTTACTTGCATCAATTTCTCCACACAGCTCCTGAGAATAGCGAATGGTTGCATGTGCTACTCCTGGTTTACATTTACACAACTCAAAGTTGTGTTAATGTAGATGAAGAACAGCAAATGACTATGCACCTTAAATTTACCAATTAGTGGGTTCATCTACACATGCATTTAGTCCAGTCTAGATTTACTGTGCAGTAAAGTACTTCAGAGTATGTGTTTTTGGATAGGTATCCACACATGCTGAGATTAGGGAGTAGATTTTCTCCCAGGTCCCTGCAGCCCTACAACGGGTCCCTGCCACTATGGGTGGGAGCTCCAGGGGCTGGCAGGGAGCACCAGGCCAGAAGACAGCTATCTCCTGGCACCAGGGGGGCGCTTGCTGCTGAGGTGGAGACAGTGTACCCCTACCCTGGGAGCAGGGAGCTCCTGGCCTTGGCTCACAGATCAGGGACATGGGGCTTGGAAAGAGCTGCAGGTGAGAGGCAGGTCCCAGGCCATTGCCCTAATCCACTGTTGGGGCTAGCTAGCCCACCAGCAGATCAGGGCATGGGCCTGAGTCCTGCCCCTGACCAGGACAGTTCCAGGCCAACTGTAGACTCTGCAAGGAAGTCTGCATGTGCAGCCCAGAGCTGGCTGAGGACTGCCCAAAACAGGACAGTCCCGAGCCACTTGCAGGCTGCTCTGCTTCCCCACACAGTCTGGGGCTGGCTGGGAACTGTCCTAGTCAGGGGCAGGTCCAAGCCAGCTCCAGACTGAGTGGGGAACTGTCCCCATGCAGGGAGCTCCCAGCTCCTGCTCTGCAACTGCAATTGTGATCATGGAGTGTGGGTGGGAATAAGCTCCCAGCTTGTCCCAGCATGATTGAGTCCCAGCTCTTCGAGCATGGAGCTGGGGATGGAAGCTTTCTGCTGCTGGCATGCTGGCATAGGGGAACATTGTCTTCACCCAGGCATGCAAGCCAGGAGGCTGGGGAGCTTGTTCCCTTCCCAGCTCCATAAGCATTTTTCTTGGGGGGCGGGAAACAAGCACCCCAGCCTGTTCCCCCCAGCTCTGCACTTGTGGAGCTGGGCGAGGAACAGGCTCCCCTGCCCCCACCAGCAGGGAGCTCCCAGTGCTGGCTCTGCAGTCATGAGGCTCTGGCTGGGAGACCCTTATCTCCCAGCAGCAGCTCCAGGTCATGAGGCTTGGGCTGGGAGACCTTTATCAGCATCTCCCAGCAGTGGCTCCAGTCACAGAGGCAGCGCTGGGAGATAAGCATCTCCCAGCAGTGGCCCTGAGGTTTCAGAGCTGGCAGTAGGAGATAAGGGTCTCTCAGCCCCCTTCTCCTTAAGCACGATCTCAAAGTAGGGGGCAGAGGGACATTGTCTTTGCCTGGGCTCCTGTGGCAGAGCCCGCCCCAGCAGCAGGCACCTCCCTGGGGCAGGAAGCTATCTCCCACCCTGTGGTGAACCGCTGACTGGGTGTAGATTTTGCTCCTGGTCAGGTGTCTACACGAGCACTACAGCACCATTACTAATGCCGAGTAAATTTGCTACTTGTATTTGTAGGTAGTAAATTTACTCAGTATTAGGAAAGTTTTCTGCAAAGTAAGTATATGCCTGTGTAGATGCACATGCTTACTTCACTGTGAACTATGCCAATGCAAAGATAAGCATCTTATGTAGATGTCCCCCATGAGTCATAAACTACTAAAACTGTATCAAAAGTCACGTAGAGAAAAATGGCAAGAGTGTGCTCAGAATGACTGGATTTTAATGTGTGTTATCTTATGATCTGTAATGCCTACAAACACTTCCAAGAACCAGAATACAATTCCTCAGGAGCAAAAGGAAACACTACTCCTAAACAGGTAATTAGACAAGGATCTGCACCAGGGTTGCAGGTGGTGGGATGGACAGTGTAGAATGCACATCTCTCTTTTCAAACGTCCACTTGGGACATCCATTCAGGGATATAGCATTATGTTCTGTCAAACCTAACTAAAGTGTGTGGCCACAGGCAGCTAAGAGGTGAAGACCTGTCTATGCTGCTCCAGGCAGAGAACTACAAAGAGCTGAGAAGAGGCACAAAAAGACAAAATCAGCTAGAAGACATTGGACCTCACAGGAATCCAAGATTCAAACCCACATTGAGGAAAATCTGAAAAACTTGAAGACCAAGATCATTGCTGCTTATGTGCAAAGGCCTCTTTTTCCCTCACTTAAACATTTTGAGGAAGTGAACAGTAAGGGAAGCCTCACAAATTTTCTCTTCTCCCTTTCTATGTTTTGTGGGGTGTATTCAGCCATGCTGGGACAATCAGGCTGGATGTTAATTTACTGTGGTGACAGCAGACAAACTCAATCACTGAATTCTGGTTTTATTTCAAATTGTCTATCATTTTATAGCCTCCTGGCAAGGAAGAAAATTAAAAGAAAGAAAAAACTTTTCAGTCATTATTTGTATTTTCAGTTAGACTTCAAAATCAGCAATATCAGTTCTCTAAGTGTTAAAAAAAGTAACAAATGTTTGGAAATAGGAAAAAAGTTCAGAGAGAAGAAAAATTAAATAAGATGTCTTGCAAGAACAGCTTTCCTATCTCTGGAGGTTATAAGAACAATCATATTGCTTTGAGCAGCTGATGGAAGTCATCATCAAAATGTAGACACTCCTTTGGAAAATAACTTCAAGCTTGGCTCAGTCACTAATGGATCCTAATACTGGATTAAACCCTGCATGAAAGAGAGAAAAAAAAAAAAGGAAAAAACAGATCACTAAGTGTAACTCTTCTAATCCTGGACTAAAGGAATCTTTTTCAAATCCTGCACAGCTTTATTAGACACAAAATTCCCTTGGGTCAAGATGCTTTCAAAGATTTATCTAACTAATTTAGGCAACTAGTGAATCATGGCATCACTTACTTGGAGTATGCTTGGATGTATGTCATCTTGATTCTCAATGTCTTGTCAAGGATAGACTATTCGACCTAAAAAGTGTTGACTGCCTAAATTGCCCTTCAGAATTTAGCTGCCACACTACATGGCTGTTGCCTTGTGTTATACCTTGCAAGAAAGCATGACAGTGTTGGAGAACCAGGGCTGCCCCCCTCTCCCACTCTCTTTCTCTCTCTCCCTTTCTTTGTCTTTTGTATTCTAATTCCTTTCTCTGGCTTCTACTCTGCTTTATGCATGTCCTTTCACACCATCTGACAAAGTGAACTTGGGTTCATGAAAGTTTGTTCTCTCCCTCTTTCTCTCTCTATATTATTTAGTTAGTCTATAAAGGTACATATCTGCTGTGCCTTCTAACTGAACAAAAGCCTTAAGTTTGGTGTGAAAGGCTGGTACTGAACCAATCCACTCAAGTTGTTTTAAGATTTGGTTCTAAATCTTGAAACTTCAAGATGATAATCCCATCAGCTCCTCCTCATCTAACATTTATGTCCCTTCTAACAATCCCTAGGACTTTATTTCCTTTCCCATAGTATCTTCAGAGGGCAAGGGAAGGGATTTGTTTCATAGAGAAAATACCAGTTTGAAGAAAAGGAAGTTCCCTAGCATTCTATCAATACTAACTTTAGATCACAGTCAATGAACTTCTGCAAGCGTAGGATAAAGATCACAGAAACAAAATTTCAGTTTTCATCTCAGTCTGAATCATTCTAAACTCACATGTAGATATTTTGTATAGACTCTAAGGGCACATTCCCATGTGCGGGGGCATGTGTTTGCGATGTCAAATACCGGCGGCACAAATTTGTGCCATTGCTTTTTGTCTCTGTGCGCACCCCTGCACATGGGGTTTGGTATGGGGCAACTGTGCCCAGGTGGAGTAGGGTAGGCTGGGACTAGCACCTATGCTGGCCCCAGCAGCCCTACCTGGGGCCTTGGAGGCCTCACAGAGCAACACCAGTGAAGATCTTTGGTTCTGGACGGCCAGGCTGCAGTTCTGGCAGTGCACACTGCTGCCATGTGCACCACACTGCTTTTTTTTTTTAACACTCCTTTTTTGACACAAGGATCTCCCAGCATCAAAGTTTGGCACTGAGCTTCAAATAAGCAGCACGGTGAATACTTGCATGTGTACCATGTGCAGTTTTGCAGCACCTCAAATAGCTCTGAGGCACCACAAAAGGCATGTACACACTCGTCTGGACATGCCCTAATATTGTGTGTAATAGCAACTATAAAAGGAAGCCGTTGTTTTGATTTTTGCTTTGTTTACTAAGTATTCAAAGGAAATGCTGAAAAAAAATAAAATCAAGGGAGACACTTACACACTACCTTATTTGGGATACTTTTGAGAAGGTGTGTTTGGATATAATGTATCTCAAAAAATTTCTTTCCCACAGGATTTAAACAGGGCAAAGGTGTGACATACCAATTTACAATGTGCTTTTTTAAAACACTAACAATATACCAGATAATGGTGGCTATTAGGAGGGAAGGCTTTTTAACAAAGGGGTCATAGGTAAAGTCAACACTGGAATCTAGAATGAAAGTCTGTACTTATTTAGCAACTGCTTTTTTCAGGTGCTTGTGTGTGGTACCTGTAGGCAAATATTAAGTTTTTAATTATGATCTCTGTACTTTTGCAGCTATCTTTAAGTCAGTTTTCTGAATTCTTAAAACATTCTTTTATGCTGAAGAAGTTCACTTTTAATTTAGTGACTGGCCCTCACGTTTCAATTCCTTTTGGCTGTTCTTTTAATAAAGTCAAAATCCTACCTTTGGGGTCATAATTGTTGCCACAGTAACAGCATACAACACAGCTTTTGTATTAGGATTTTGTTGCCTGGGCCATTAGAGAAAGGAGATGGACTGTGGAGAAGCCTGCCACCTACATTTCATTCGTATGTAATTTTCTACAGTTTCTTTAAAGAAATAAAGGAATACTCATTGGGAAATAAATAGAGGGCTATAATAAACATTACTATCCATCACTGGCACAATTATAATTTGCTTTAACTACAAGTACAGTGTTCTACTATAATATTTACTTAAAAATTATTAACCATTGAATCTCCTAAGTGTAAAAAGCAATACACAAAAGGAGGTGTGTAAACAGGCTACTAGACTCCTTATGATGTAGGATACAACAGCAGCAGTTCCAGCTATCAAATAAAGTTATAATTAGTGTGTTTTGCCACTTGGAAAACACCCTGAAAATGTAATGATCTGTTACAAATTCTTAAAGTGTCTAGAAATATAGGTATGTATATTCACCTTCACAGAGCTCCTAATTAGAGACGCAGAGAAAATTTGGCTGGACTACCCCATTTTTGCAAACAGTGTTGTCCATCTGAGTTGCAGCAGGATTCTGTAAGGTAGCATTAAATGTTCTCTTCAAGACAGTGTCCTTAAGCAATGGGCTAAGCTGTGAAGACATAGATATATAATATCATGTTATGAATATATCAACAATAGGCATACACATCATTCTACAACAGTCTTGGTTATACAATTCCTAGGAAAGAAGTGTTCTGCATTGTGCATTAAAATTTTACCTAAAGTATAGGCTTTCTAAAGCTTCAGTTTGGAAAAGGACTCAAATTGTCCACTACAGTTAAGAATATCATGTTGTACAATGTCATTCTGGATTTCAGATTATCAAATTATGAACAGTGCTAGAAGATGCAGGTACTCAGCCTCTCAGAGAATTAGCCCAGTTAAGAACCTAAGTATGTATTTAGGATCCAAACTCTAGGAATCCATTTTTTAAAAGCCTGACCCATAATGATAGGAGTCTTAGCTGTATAATAGGCAAAGGACAAGGTGCTGACTCAGACTGAATGACAAAGAATATTTTCTGATCCTGAGTGAAGGGAAAAAATAAAGAAAAGAAAATAAAGTAGAAAGTAATGCTGTTTAGGGAGAGTCACTGTCTCAGAAAACAAGAATTTTAATCTGTGTGTTCAGATTTAGTAGAATTTTTATTTAAAAAACCCCGCATTTACTACTAAATTATTTCATGATCATTTGCAAGAAAAGGAGCAGATGGGCCAGTACAGAGATTAACCACTTTAAAGTAAATGTCATTTTCAGTTTTAGAATACAAAACTGAAGACTGCTGATATATGGGATTGATAAGTAGTTTAACTACTTTCTATTTATTACTGGCCATTCTGGCCAGTTGCAGAGTATAGACCTGAGAAATGGACCTGATGAATGGATCAATGACCATTAAATCCCACCATTTTCTCAGGGTGTTGTCTGTCAATTCACGCTAAGAATTTATCATCACAGGCAGCTACTGGAAGGTGATGTGTTAGGGTAGAAACAGATGTCACCTTTTGTTGCCTATATGCTAAAAATGTTTATGGCAACACAAAGGCCAAGCAAAGCCCATGCCCTGTGTCATGCCACAAATACTCAAGATTTGTTACTGTGACACAAGTGGTATCAATTTGTACCACTATTTAGCAACAGATATCAGTTGGCTTTATGAGACCATGGGCATCCTAGAGTTGCCCATGCTCTGCAGCTCCCACAGTTAGGTTCTCTGAGAATTTGCCCCAAGAAACAAGGACAAAATAGGATCAAAGGAGGAGAAAGTTGAGGCATTGTGGATTAAAATACATGGAGGTCGAGGGGAAAGAGACTTGGTGGTGGTGGTTTGCTACAGACAACCGCACCAAGAGGAAAAGCTAGACATGGAATTTTTGAGGCAGCTCTCAGAGATCATACAGTCTAGGGATGTGGTTGTCATGGGGGACCTAAACCACCCTGACATCTGTTGGGAGGAGCAGTCAGCGAAATCCAACCATTCATGTAGGTGCTTAACCTGTGTGCAGGACCTTCACCTAATGCAAGAGGTATATGGTCTCTCTAGGGGGAATACCTTACTGGACTTGGTGTTGGCTATGGGGGAGGACCTGGTAGGGGAGCTGCAGATTCGTGGTCACCTTGGGGACAGCAACCACCAAGCAATCAAATTCACCATATGGGCAGGTAAGGTAATTAGTAGGGTGGAAGTGCTTGACTTTAGAAAGGCTAACTTCAGTGTGCTTAGGAGTTTAGTCAATGAGGTACTGCAGGATAGGAGTATTGGTGAGATGGGAGTCCAGGAAGAGTGGTCATTTCTAAAGGAAGCAATCCTTCAGGCGCAGAGGGAGACTATCCCAGTATGAGGGGAAAGGGGGAAAGGAGCCAAAAAATGTCCTTGGCTAAACAGGGAAATTCACGGGAGACTAAGGGCAAAAAAGAAGGCATATAGGCGGTAGAAACAGGGGAAGCTACCAAGCAGGAGTATACCTACTTGGCCAGCACTTGCAGGGAGGCAGTTAGAAAGGCAAAAGCAACTACAGAGCTGAGCCTGGCAACACAAATTAAAGACAACAAAAAGTCTTTTTTAGGTATATAGGGAGTAAAAGAAAGGCGCAGGGCCCCATAGGACCCCTACTGAATAAGAAGGAGCAATTGGTGACAGAGAGGGGGGACAAGGCTGAGCTATTCAACGAGTTTTTTGCCTCTGTGTTCCTGAACAGGGCTCAAGATAAATCTCCTAACCGGTTCTCAGATGGGCATCAGAGGGACACCAGCCCACCAACTGTTGATGCTGACTTGGTGCAGAGTCACTTGGATGGACTGGATGTGTTCAAGTCATCAGGCCTGGATGAGCTGCATCTGAGAGTACTGAAGGAATTGGCTGGTGTGACAGCAGAACCACTGGCATGGCTCTTTGAGTGCTCATGGTGCTCGGGTCAGGTTCCAGAGGACTGGAAAAGCACCAGTGTGGTCCCTATTTTCAAGAATGGGAGAAAGAAGGATCCAAGTAATTACAGGCCAGTCAGTCTCACCTCCATCCTTGGAAAGGTCTTTGAAAAGATTATGAAGATTCATATTTGTTGGAGTCCAGCAGGAAAAAGAATGCAGCAGGGAAACCAGCATAGATTCATAGCGGGTAGATCATGCCTGACCAATCTGGTTTTATTTTATGACAGGGTCACAAAATGCTTAGATGCAGGAGTAGAGGTAGATGTAATTTTCTTGGATTTTAGCAAGGCCTTCGATACAGTATCTCATCCCATT